CCCTCCCACCCCCAAGAGTCCACACGTAGATTGTTCACTTCCCATTACCATACAAATTGCTTCATGTGGGCATCCAGTTTGCTTCCGTGATAAATCCTAAAGGTAATCACCGTTGGTTGGAACGAAAGCGCAGGATAGTAGGTTTTGTGTTCGGAGTTCCCAGTGCGGAACAACCAAGATTAGATGAATTCAATGAATTCTAGCGTCAATTTTGATGAAATGGAGCAAAGTCACACACACACACACACTGTTGTTGGTCTTCGGTTCCACACATGTTTAAGTCAACTTTTACCATTGACGAGGGAAGCGATCCGTCGCATATAGATATTGACCAAAGAGAGAAAACTGGCCTCCAGAGAAATATAAATCTTCAAATATATTACACTTATGTAGACAAAAAATTATAATGTTACTCGCGAGTATTCTTTGATTATACCCCTCAATTAAATCATATAAAAGTTCAATGAAGAAGCAATAGAGCGGTAGAATCAAAGAATGATTAACTCAAGTTCAATCTAAAAGTAATTATAATTGTTCCGGGAGAATTTATCACAAAGTATCTGCGTTCAGTAAACGCATGACTGGCCGGAACTGATCCAAGAATGAATAGACTTTAGTCAAAGTTTTATTGTGGGAATTACTTACATATTCATGCTTCTGTGCTCCCCAGAATATTTTCACAATTTCGCCTTCCTCGACAAAAAAGAGATAAAATGTTACGTACAGTTCCGGGTTTTGAACTAGTTTTCGCTTTGAGTTCTGTAGGAAGGTGTGATTTGCCGGGGATTCATCAAGTTTCCGCTTGAAAGATATAACAATTAGCGCACAGAAGACGTGAGATGGGAGCGTAACAGCATTCCAGTCGACACTTAGGAATCGTTAACTTGAAACGATGTCCCCTGAGCTGGATGTTGGAGGACAACGTGAGCAGCGGCCGACATAAATGGTTTGGGTTCTGTAGTATTTGATACGCCGAAATCAATTCTCCTCTAATTCGGCGGTGCTGAGCAGAATATAGTTCCAATGATCGTAATCTCTCTTCATAGGTGAGACAGTTTAATCCCTAGCAATGCTTTTTGGACGCACCAGCATCTTACGATCACTTTGCAACCATGATCCCCAAGCTTGGATGGTGCACTCTGTGTGCGGTCGAATGATCAATGATAGCAAACTTGGGAACAATACTGATTCCATTGGACCAAAGACTCGCCTAAGCAAGCCGAAATTCTTCATAGCAATTAATCGAGTGGCACAAGTACTTTTGAACAATTATACCTAATTCCTTCTCATTTGAGGTACGTGGCAGTTGATGAAATACCAGAATCTACTCTTGTGGCGTAGGGATAGGAGTGTGTAATTAGAAACATAGAATTCAATGTCATTCTGCGTAGACCTTTAATAGGCTCTAAGGAGGGTTTCTTGAAGTGATAGCCAGTTCTCGATTTCCATCACCGAATTCCAGATTTTGGAGTCATCTAAAAAAAGTATTGTTTTTGACTTTAGCATATTTGGTAAATCATTTGCGAATGCGGCGAAAAGTAGGGGACTTAGTATAGACCCTTGTGAAACCTCTCGGGAATCAGAAACATGAACTGATATTGTCGGCCAGTCGGAGAAATGCTCTATACCAACCAAGCACGAAACCTCAAATGCCGTAATTTAGGAGCTTTTACAAACTGTGGTGAATAACCCCATCGCATTCTTTTGATAAGTGCAGATAAATCACATTCACCGCATTCCATTTGTTGACTGTTCTGGTCCATTCATCTCGAACAAGAAGCAAGTTGGTGGAACAGGATAGCTTTTCCCCTAACCGATGTTATTGTGTCGTAAGACTGTTGAGTCTTTCTAAGTGTTCCCTCAGAGAATCTGCCACAACTGACTTCATGAATTTCGATAACACTAGTGGCAGGGTTACAGCTCGGTATTAAGTGCGTCATTAAGACAACCACCTTTGTATATGAGCGAAACAACACCTTGTTTCAGCAATTAGAGAAGTATTGATTAGTCGAACATTTGTTGGAATAGGATCGCTAGGGGTTCGGATATTTGATTTGTCAAAAAAGAGAGGGGTTTCTGGTGCACATTATCCGTACCTGGAGTTGCGTTTTGTTCCAAGCCATTAGTTTGACTTTGACTTTTTCAACAGTTAGTATTATGTTGGTCAGCTTAGGATATTGAAGATGATGCAACCGTTGAGGGAGCTGTAAACCTTCGACATGTGGTGCAGCAAAGAACTTTAGAAAACTGAGTTATCTGTATTTAAGCGGTTTCCGT